AACCTGTCTTTGGAGTAGATGCTGTTTAAATGTACATGACAAATCTATGAGCATGACTTGCTGTCACTCCTCTTCCCTCATACAGCACAGGAAACACATTTCCCCCACATTATCTTTCACACAGGCCTTCTGAAAAACATTCAATCTGTCTGATGCTAAATACTTAACCCACTTCCTCTTTTGGACACAGTTTGGCCGCAAACTTGCAGAGGCGAAGGCCTAATGGGGAAAATGTTGTTTCTGGAGCGAATCCAACAAGGCCAACACAAGCGGCTTGATGAACAGTGCTGTCGTAGCAAAAGCGTTAATGTGCAGGCTTTGGAGAATTATGATGAGGTTAGCTTAGCGCCTAGTGGAACGCATAATGCCACCGGTATTTGTTTATGTCACTTTGGGTTTTAATGAGAGGGGAATAAGTTAGTGAATGACTCTCTGGTGTATCTGGACATCAATAAAACAATGTTCCAGTCTGGGAAGTTAGGAGCAATTGATTATAGATTTGAAGGTTAAAGAGTCATCTTTAAGTCCTGTGACTCACCTACTTACATGGACATGTGGCGGGAAATAATTACCCTAGAATAATACATTGACAATGTTTGTGTGTTTGTACATGAACTAAAACTACTGCTCATGAGACTGGAGGACTGTCTGTGTGTACATGTATGAATGGGTACACTCCTCTTCTCCATCCCTCCGCTGCTGTCCCCAGTGGGAATACATGCATAGCAGCACACGGCTCCACAGCGCAGGCGTCCCATTGGGCAACTCCCTCCTGACTCCCCCTTCATCTCCCTCTCTGTGGGATGGTTGAAATGGAGACGTCAGTGCAGCAGAGCAGAGACAGAGCTCAGGCTCCAGTTACCTGGCAGCACATCTTCATTCTCAGCAGTCAGAAGCAAAGCAGTGAAGTGTGTGCAGAAGGAAAGTAAAGCTTACTTTGTGGAACTTGGACAGAGCAAGTTAATGGGTTTAACAATTAAAACTGCAGTTGCTTTGAACTGTAAGACGAGGATGAACAGGAATTCTGATCAAAGAAAAGCAAGGTAGTTTTTTTTTTAATGTAGCACAGTAGTGAATATAGAAAAAACTACGATTTATGGTAAACCATATGTAACATATGGTTCTGCCCTAACTATAACCCCTCTTGTTTTGTTTGTGCCCACCCCCCTTTCCCTACATCATCTCGGTCTCTGCTGTTGCAGATGCTGGATAAATAAGCAAGCAGTTTGCTGCCAGTGTGTGAAATTGTTCTTATCTATCTCTGCCATTACAGATTGGGTTCTATTATAAAGCTTTGCATTATTCAGCGAGCCAGAGAGACTGATCATTATGGATTTCAGCCCTTTTCCACACCAGCCCCTGGAGTCCAGCTCGGCCTGCCAGCTGATGCATGCCCAGATCTGACCTTGTGCTCCAAACACAGTGAACATTGGAGTGGAAAGGGGAACGGGTCAGTTCGAGACTGTGTATGTATTCACCACCAAACATGAAAGCAGAACATACCAAGTCCCACCAGCAGTTTGCTTTCAGAAAGACAGAATGGGTTTTTAAAAACAAAGTCAACCTTAAAAATATGCCTGCAAGAGTGCCAGTTTCCAAAGTTCCTGGCCACAAATTAGATTAGTTACACTCTGGAAAGCTCAGTAAAAGCTGACTGACATCTAATGCATTTTTTCTCAGCGTTACAGCAGGCTAAGTGGCAGGCACATGGTGAGAATGAGAGAAAACATGGCTGAACATATGGTGCTGCAGCACTTTTTTTATGTGTGGGAAAGGAGATGAATATTGAATAGATATATGTGGCAAGCTGCTCATCCCTTACTGTAACCTGACGGTATCAGAGGTGGGCTGTCTCCTGGTGGGAGGCAGTGCGCAGCTTGATCATCAACATTAAGTTGTGCACATCAAAAGCACTGAAAGCTACTCCATTTCCTCCCATTTGGTAAACGAGCGCTGTATTGCTGCTGGTCTGCTGAAGATAATGAGTGAAGCATTACTTGTTGATCTGCCGTTCAGACTATGAGCGCTAATGACAAGTATTGCTTGGTCTGCATGTGCTGAGATAAGGAAGATTTGTTACATGCTTGTCTTGGGCCCCCGCAATTAGACTCTGCCATTAACCATTCGTTATATCCGCTGTTTCTCGCCTTCAGCTTGGCACCTTGCTGATTACAATGTGCTGGATCGATAATTAAACAAATTAAGGTGGACTGCTGGGTCAATTTCCATCCCATCTTAGCCAGCGGCTGCCGTGGCGTCATGCACAAGTCTAAAACCCCTGTTGAAATGCAACAGAAGAAAATTAAAGACCTGCTACAAATGTTTGGGCTGCACATTCATTGTGCTTGATGGCACAGTTTTACAGCAGAGCTCTGCCACAGTGATGCGACAGGGAGGGAGAAGTCATTTTTCTCAGAGCAGGCGGTAACTCTTCTGTTGGCAGCAAACCTGTGACTTTCACATTAAGGCTCCATTCTGGGACAAGCAGTGCAGTGGTTGATGACTGTGAATATAGCCCACTGGCAGAGGTGGGAAGGGACCATGTACTGGACTTTCAATTGTGTGAGAGAGACTGAACCGTGTAGTTCACAGCACTTCAGAAGGGAAATTTGGCATTTTTTCTTATGCTGCTTTTTACTTCTATCAGGGTTGAAGTAACAAGAAGACACCTAAAAAATGAACTAAAGGTTAGCTTACATTCTATTTGAGTAGTTTAATACTACCTATTAATACTACCTATTGCAAAAAAGAACAACTAGGTCTTTTGAAAGGAAAGTTTATATGTAGTGTTATATGATTGTGTGAAGGATATGAATACTTTTTCCATCCATAAAGGAGCAGTGTGTAGGATTTCGGCATCAAGTGGTATAGTTGCAGATTGTAGTTCCCTCGGTTCATCCTCCCCTTCCAAGCTCAAAGCATCCGAAGCACGGGGAAAACACAAAAGGCCCTATCAAGAGCCAGAGCCAAAAACTTGCTCCTTCTGTAGATAGAAACAACTCATTCCAAGATAACAAAAACATAACATTTTCTATTTTCATTTGATTATACACTGATAAAAACATACCTATACATTTCATATTCCAATTTTGCCAATAGATCCTCCTAAATGTTAGACACTGGACCTTTAATAAGTAGTTGGTCAACGTAATAAAGACCACTTCCATGATTTACACACACACACACACACACACACACACACACACATATATATATATATTAGGAAATATCTCACCTGTACTAATTTAATCTGAAAAACTGGAATTGGTTGAAAGGGAAATATCCCACACATTTCCTCGCAAAAATGCACATATAATGTAGTTTAAAGTAGTGGGTTACATCAATTTCTTCTCGTGACCTCTTGTCACAGGTGAGTGATGAAACAAGAGTGCTGTTTTAATTAGCATGTGGCCTAAGTTTAACAGTTTTTAGAGGCAATAGAAGCAAGAGGCAAAGCTTGAACTAAAAAAATCCCTCTGAAGTTCATATTTAGTTCAGTTTAGGTCAAGCTGTTTCCTTCCTACGTCACTGCCAACACTGGTGATTTGTTATACCAACATGATCTATCTCAGAGTGTTGCAGCTCTCCCCTCTCTTACTTATTAATGCCAGAGCCGCAGGGGTAGTTACGTAACAGTCTGTTTAATTATTTGGAAAAGATTTCACTTTCCTTTGAGCGCCTCCGTCTTGTTGTGGTGGGGTTTAACACGACTGCTATCCACAGATACGATGAGCCCAGAGCATCTCTCTATCAGTACAGCCTCCCCTTCCCTCTGCCTCTCCCCCTGCTGCTCCCAGGTATGGAACACAGCGAGTGTACAGTACAGACAACCGTAGCACTAAATACCAACAAGTACACTCTTACTGTATAAGCAAACACTGTAAACCACTTTATTCCGGCACGAGGATGCACACACACAGAGAGAGAGAGAGAGAGAGAGAGAGAGAGAGAGAGAGAGAGAGAGGTGGCGGTGGGGACTCCGACCGTGGGACAGGCTCCTCTGGAAGATGGGGAGCGGTTTTCATTTAAGGTGGACCGATAATTACACATAACGCTTCTGCCACGCGTTATGAGATTCACAGAAACCCAAAGTCCAAGTGAGCATTTCATTGCCTATGAATTAAACGTTTCACTGGTAGAGGGAAATGTGTAATTTGCCATTTATAAATGAATATAGTCCTGCTTTAGGTACAATCTCGAGGTAGGCCCTGCTTTATATTAGGCTATAGGCTAATATAATTCTCTATTTTCCTGCATTGCGCCACTTTGCAACTTCTTCTTCTGCACTATATTTATCTGACAGTTATTTTGGAGTCATTTCTCATAAAACTGTGATGATATATTATTATGCATTGTTCCGTTTTTTAAATTTCAGTATAAAAAGCAAAATCATTTGTGTAGTTCAACCTGATTTCAACACAAATCAACAATTCTTTCAGGATAGTATCGAAATAGCGCCGCAACCTGCTTTACATTTCTTGTTTTAAGATACAAGTTTGTTTAAAATAAAAAAAAGCAGCAAAAGAAGACTTTTAGGACTTAACTATACAGTAATGTGTATAAGACTAAAGTTTTGGCAGATTAAAAATCCCAACAGTTTACAGTTAAAAGCTCCACCATGACCAGCTTCAACCGAAAAGTATCAGTGGTAAAAATCCTACAATAGATAGAGCACTATGGAAAGGGCATAATGAGGCTTTTACTTGTATCGCAGTACTTTACATTGAAAGGACCTCAGATAAAGGCATGTAAAGGATAGAAAGAAGTCCTATTAAGATATTATCTTATCTTTTTCCCGCTCCCAATGCAGACCTAATCTAATATTCCACAGTTTCCCTTTACTACATCGTGTATTCTCTCTGCTGCTGTAGGAGCGGACTGTGTGGGTGCTTTACGAACAGTGAGGACGACCTTAAATAAGGGGCTGGACTCTGTAGGTACAGCAGAACCCGCCGCCTCCCCTCAGTGATGCAGTGAATGTGCGCTGCGTTATGTCCGCTATATAAAGTGCACACAGCCAGCAGAGCTCACAGCTTCAGTGGACAGCTCCGTGGTGCTGAAACTTCACTGACACACACTCACACACACACACTAGAGCCGCGATACATGACGGGAACCATGGACGGATCCTCTTGGAAACTTTTTCTACTTTCTTGCCTGGTTGTTGCGGAGAGCTCCGCGCAAGACTTCGGACAGACCCAGTTTATTTGCACGTCGGTGCCCAAGGATATGGACCTGTGCACGGCCACAATGCAGAACAGCGGGCCGGCGGAGGACCTGAAGACCACGGTCATGCAGCTGCGGGAGACCGTGCTGCAGCAAAAGGAGACCATAATGAACCAAAAGGAGACAATTAGGGAACTAACGTCCAAGTTGAGCCGCTGCGAGAGCCAGAGCCTCCCGGCGGCGGGACCCGGCGGGAGACGGCCGGGGTCGAAGAACACGATGGGGGATGTATCCCGGGGCACCACGGACACCCTGGCGCAGCTGGGACAGACTTTACAGACGCTGAAACAGAGACTGGAGAATCTAGAGGTAGGCAAGCAGAGGAGAGCAGCGCTGACCGGGTCAAAAGTTAATTAAATTAGCCTCCCTGGTTGTTAATTAGAGTGAGGGTTAAACCTCTAATACACTGCTGCAGTATTGTTCTGGATTTGTGCAGTCTCTGCCTGGAGCCCATGTGTTTTAGTTCACCTTTTTCTTGACAGAAAAGCATCATGTAAAGTAACGCAAGTGCAGGGTAGCTGCCTTTTTGAATAATGTGTCGCAGAGCACACACACAGACAGTGAGGAACAGGGTTAGGACAAGACTTTAAGCTTCACACAGAGTAGAGGGGGCGTGTTTCAGCGAGTTTAACACCAGAGAAAGTATTCACTGTAGTCCTTTAACCCAGTGTCTGTCTCCCTCTGTCCGATGCAGCAATACAGCCGAGGGAACAACACCGTGCAGGCGAACAGCCTGAAAGATCTGCTGCAAAACAAGATAGACGATATGGAGAAGCAGGTTCTGTCCCGGGTCAACACGTTAGAGGAGACCAAACCGGTCTCCAGGAATGAGACCGAGCAGCGGAACAGAGTGGAGTCCACGCTCACCTCTCTGCACCATCGGATCACAGACCTGGAGAAAGGTGCGTTTTGGATTTCAGAGCGCGCACACAATAGGACTTTGACGGTATTGAATGTGGCTCTGCGGGAGTTCTAAACAAGATTAGGTGTAATTTAATTGGTTTTTCAAGCTCAAGCGCGCTTCAGTCTTTAGAAAAAAACACCTTCAGTAATACAGCACTCATGTGGAACCGTTAACAATGCCGCAACCATCACATTGCGCACAGATAGTGAAAGGGAGGAGAGGAGAGCTGCATTGCTTTGCATATCTCAAGACCTGTTAGCACTTTTGCTTCGCTGAGTTTATGTTTTCCACAGCCAACACCTGACGGTCTAACTTGCTTATGAGCCTGTATGCAAAGGGGAATGATTTGGCAGAGGTCAGACGAAGCGCAGAAACTTTGCAGGGTGCGCCTCGCACTGGCGCGTTTTGGAGGCTTGTTCAGCTTTTCTTCACGTGCAAATGCGCGTGCGTACCTGGTATGTGAGAAAGGGAGGAGACAGAGCCCTCCTACACACTGACACACTGTAAAAACAGAGCTTCATATTTAATAAGAGATAGCGGCAATTTTAATGTTGTGAAAAAAACTATTAAATCTTCAGACAAGCTTTGTTTTTCTCCACTAAAAGAGACTCTAAACACATAAATCCCATAATATTAAAGAGTTGATGCATATATAAATACATGTGGGTTTACCCTCCACTTAATCCCTAAATACAGAAACAAAATGCTGAAAAATACTCATGTAACTGACATCTGATCTACAGGTAAAGACACCAGGCCGACAGATAAATTTCAGCTCACCTTCCCCCTGAGAACCAACTACATGTACGCCAAAGCCAAGAGGAGCCTCCCTGAGATGTACTCATTCAGCGTGTGTCTGTGGATCAAGTCCAACGCCTCCCCTGGGGTGGGGACACCTTTCTCCTATGCTGTCCCGGGTCAGGCCAACGAGCTGGTGCTGATCGAGTGGGGGAACAACCCCATGGAGATTCTCATCAATGACAAGGTAACGGGAAACTGGTTATCATGGAAAAAGACTTATTTCACATATGTCTCACCTTTGCTGGGTATCATTGTGGCTTTTTACATGTTAATGTGCGGAACAACTAAAAGTGGGTGCAACAGTAGGACAAAGTTATAGTACTTTGTGATTGGATGAGTCAGAGTAACCTGACAACTTTCCTGTGCCAGAGCTGGAAATGGAATAAAAATAGGTGGTAAGGTGAGCAACAGAAGGCCTTTTTATAGAGAAAAAGATATGTGACGGGGAAGTGATTCAGCAGTAGGAATAGAAGGTGTGGAAGCCACGAGATTTCAGGCGGGGAGTGTCTCTGCTACTAAAGTGTGAAAGGGAGATTGTTAACTGGAGAGAAAGACGTGACTAACACAATGCCTCTGCTGCAGGTTGCAAAGCTGCCGTTCCTCATCAATGACGGGAAATGGCATCACCTCTGCATCACGTGGACCACCCGTGACGGGATGTGGGAAGCCTTTCAGGACGGAGTGATGCGGGGCAATGGAGAGAATCTGGCTCCGTACCACCCCATTAAGCCAGAGGGAGTGCTGGTCCTGGGACAAGAGCAGGTGGATATTAATTTTCTAATCAGTGATAGCAACTTATAATAATAAAATAATAATAACCCTGAGACAATTATTCATTTAGATTTTGGACAAAGATTAAACAAAGGGATATTTCTGAAATGAGGTTGTAGAGACATTGGAGAGGTGCCCAATTAAGGCTTTCTAGTCAAATTAGTGTGCAATTTATCATCCTATCATGGGAAAAAATAACAGTGCTTCATCAATTTGGCCTGAATTTTGACAGGGAAACATTATTTGAGATTTTTTTTTACAGAGAAAATCAGTTTGTGGCACTGAGCAAGACCTTTTCACTATGAACAGACCTACAGAGCATTTGGCCAAATAACACTGTTACATAAAATCAATCACACATGCTTACAGACAGTAAACGGTTTCCAGGCTGGAGTTCAGCAAAAAAAACAAAAACAAGAAAAAGCTATTATTAAGCCATTTGCTACAAGGTCACACTTTTGTATTTTTTAACTAAAGCAGCCAACTTGTTTCAGGATTAAGCCATAACTAAGAACAAAAGTCATCTGAAAGGATGCCACATATAACAAAATCTTACCATACACTGTCAAATGCACATTGATTTAAGCATTCTTCACAAGAAAAAGCGTGGCGCCCTGTTATTTCAACTTTTAAATCCTTCTCCGTACTAGATAACCTTGCAAAATAGGCCTGCTAACACTTCCATTCAAGCTTTGACGTGCACTTGCAGAGCTGGTGACTAACTCTTGTCTGCGTTGGTCCACAGGACACGTTGGGAGGAGGCTTTGATGCAACACAAGCTTACGTTGGTGAGCTGGCAAACTTGAATATCTGGAATAGGAAACTTTCTATCGCCGAGATCTACAACTTGGCGACCTGCAACAGCAAAGCGCCTGCAGGCAATGTCTTCTCCTGGACGGAGAGCAACATCGAAATTTTTGGTGGAGCGACCAAATGGACCTTCGAGCCTTGCCGTTCGCTCAACTGAACTGAGTTTCACTGTTCAAGAAAGGCCTCTCTGTATTTCTGAGCTTTTGTCGTTCTTGTCTTCATTTGACCTTTGTTAGAGACTATTTGAGTTATTGGTAAGCTTAGATCTGGGATTTCTATCATTCTTAGGTATTTATGTGCAAAACAACACTTTTCATCTTGAGGAAAAAAAATCGTCTCGGAAACCTCAGTGAGAAAGTATTGGTATCCTGTTTTTTTTTTTCTCTCGGACGTTCAGTTGAAAGCACACCTAAGCTTTTCATTTGGCTTACTTCCGTCTTGGACTGGCAGCTGGCAATCTGCGCCTTATGTTTGGACAATTCACAATCCAAGTGAGGAATTACATAACCACTCCCACCCCCCTTTCCATCCGGAGAGTGGGAGATTACGCTGTCTATCCAATTCTTGTCAGTGTTTGGCGCTGTGAAGTGATGTCTGACGCGGTACAGCTCCCCGCAAACCCCCCCATCCCACACGGTCCCACCAACCCCCTCCCCCCTCCTCCTTCACTCTGGCCCGCCCCTCCGGAACTTGCACTGTGACTGACGAAGAGATCGCCAGGAGAGGAGGGTACGTTGAAGGACACTGCAAAGTCAGACTGTGGTACAAGTCAATTTGTTATCGTCGTTCGCTTCAAGTGTTTCTGTAAGAATGTCGTTAACTTGCCAACATTGCTACAAAGCCTAGGTGCCTTGGGCTGGTACAAATATTCAGCACATTCAGTATGTTATAAGTTGCAATTTCAATGTTTATTGGTTTTCTGTTTTCTTTTCTGAGCTGGGTTGAGTTTCTTGTTCTTCTGGTAAATGTAATTTAATTACAGTTTGTTATCTGACATGATGTGTTTTGGCAGGTGTTTGTACTACTCTGTATTAGGAATGTTACAGTATTTGTATAGTAACAGCATGAATGACAGAGTGCTGTGGAAGCATTGTTGAAATCTGCTTTACTATCTTCTCTGGGTCTGGGTTTTTTACTGTATTGTTATATGCTCCAAGCATGGCAAAACTGAGAGATGAAGAATTTAATTTTTGTAATAAAATTGTGATACTTAATGTCACAGTGCATTCCTGGCTTTGGTTATGTGCATCAGAACGAGGGGAGAAGAGTGTGAGGGAAGGGGAGGGAAGGTGACGCAACCACTCATAAGATATAACATTTTTATCATGGTCAAACATTAAAGAGAGGGAACTAATAACCAGATAAATGAAACGTCCAAAGGCAGTGAAGGTCACAAGGAGGGCGCTTGGGAAAAGAAATGAAACATTGTGGGTGCCTACGTGTTTGTGTGCGGTGACTCTTTTTAAGCTGACTGCAGAAGATAACCCACTCGCTGCTTTGTTGTTGCTGCTGCCGTGAGATGCAGCGACGGCACTAAAGACAGCGAGGCTGTCGGAGGAGAAAAGTGCTTCGTCACATCAGCCTTTCAACAGCCCAGTTCAAGTGCATGCTAAACTAAAACTACAGCACTTTAGGCTCAACTTCCATTATCAATTCGCTCAGAGGACCTGTTGCTGTGGCACCGAGATGTGACTGTTGACAGTCCCTGCATTTAAATTAGACACTTAATCTCTTACTCAAGTGTCGAGTGGTGAGAGCAATACATCAGAATAACACGATTTGTTCTCCCGCTGTTAGACCACCTTGAGATATTTTAGCATGAGGCATTTCAGAGAACTGCTTCACAGTGGGCAGCCGTTATCTGTGTTTTTCAAGTTTTTTCTTCATTACGAAAACCTCTAGGTCCTCGAATGTTTGTCATGCCATGTGGTGCTGAATAATTCCTGCTCGTATACTTCACATCTTGTCTTATTATCCCATTGTGTTTTATCTAAAGACGTTCTCTCCTCAGTGTTCTGCTTTTAAATAAATTCATTGGGCCTTGACTGAAATATTACTGGGGAAAGAAGTTGTAGGTTTAAGTATTAATTTATGAAGTACTACTAACTACTTTTGCCTTAAGCTCGACTTTATGGACTGAGTGTTATACATATTAACGGACAACTTACCTGCCTACGTGACTTAAACCTGAAACTTAACTTTCAACGGCGTTCAGCTCTTACCCCTTAATGAACAATTCAAATCTTTTCAGTCCCTCAAATTCAACTGACTGTCCAGGGTGGTGTACTCCGCCTCTCACACAATTTCAGCTGGGATCACCTCAAGCTCCCTGCAACCCTGCAAAGGATAAGCCGTTAGAGATAATGGATGGATGGACACTTCAACTGTCTCTGGTGCTTGAACTTCAATGGAAATTTCAATTTCTTTCATTTGCTTTTACAGTTCAATAGACATTTCAGCTGTTTTTAATAGCTTAGTCTTTAATTAACAGTTCAATGGTGTTCATCACTTACACTTCAATGGACAGGTCAACTGCTTTCTCTCTTCACTCTTCAATGGGGAGATCGAATACAGTAAATACAACGGCCTACAGAGATTTTTTTTACACATCAGCTGACACTTCAAACACACACTTCAACTTCTTTAACTTAAATGGCAAATCCCATTTATAGTTTTAAGAATTCTGTTCACTGAATTTTCAGCATAAAAGATGACCTTTTATTGTCATCACAGCTTGTGTTATGGAATGAAGTTCCTCTACTCAGTGTGGTTAGCTCATGAATAAATCCACTGAGCCTTGACTGAGACATTATTGGGTAAGACTTGCAGGGATTCAATACATTTTGGTATTTGGCTTGACCTTGAAGTGGATTTTCTTTAGCTGAGAAAGAATCTGCCTCACCTTAATCTCCCTTGATGCACAGCAGCCAGGGTCAAGAGCCTTTTAAAAGAATGACATGGTGTTAATACAAAGAGCAAATTCCTGTAGCTGCATAAACACACACACACACACACACACACACACACACACACACACACATACACACAGGGCAGAAAACGATTTATTCTGTCCCTTCGCCACGTCGGCAGATGGATCCCAAAACACTTGGCTTTATCAGCCAATTACATTTATAGAAAATACCAGGACAGCTGAAAGCCAAAGCCAAAGTGGCTGTCAACCATGCTCAAGATTTATCAGGAAGTTTTGGATAGTGAATAATGGACGCTAAAAAAAGGGAGAATTGGCCTTTTAGAAAACTGTCATTTTTACATTTAACTGTTTTGATCAAAACTGTTTTGTTATCACATAATCAAGGAACCCAGTGAGCACTTTTCAGTTGAAAACCGGTGAAACAGCATACCAAATTGGATCAAATTGACAAGACATTGATTGAATGTTCACATTTACACTACATTTCCCAAGAATTTGCACTAGTTGAATTTGTTTCATCTTCTACAATGTGCTAATAATAACCTATCATCACTTTGGACCATCCAAAATTGCCAGTTGAAAGCCAGTACCTAACCAAACCTTAACCACAGTAATATCAGAAAACACTTGTTGAAATGTTACAAACCCTCTCTAAACTATCTGTGGGCAGGCTATCTAAATAAAGGGAAAGTCCTGTGTTTAACCCACTCATCAACCATATCTTCCTATGGAAATGGACCTTGTCACCTATTATACCAGAAAGCTAAGGATGTAAAGATTTACTGATGCAAGTCAGAAAACGGTTTTAATGTTACAGATGCAACTACATCGGTACGTGGACCTCGGATTGATCTAATGTACCATTAACTGGTTGATTGTCTGATTCTGAAGTTATGAATCGGTTGACTGAAGCTTTGCTGATAACAACGTCTCCACTCTCTTAAAAGGTAAAAGGTCAACATGAGGGTCTTGCCACAAGAGTGATGAGATTAGTGAAGCTTGGATTACAAGGTAGATACATCAGTGGCCATGGGTTTAAGTCTGACCTATGACCCTTTGCTGTGCTGTGTGTCATCCCCTCTCTCACCCCCTTTCCTGTCAATATTGAGCAACAAAATCACCAAAATATATATATAAGTAAACACATCTGTGTTTTGTGACACGTGTAACCACATTTTAACTGGTTGAGAAGAGGGCAAGAAGATTTTAGACATTCAGACCTAGACCTATCCCAGTTTTCAGCAAGAAATCAATGTTGAAATCCTGGTTGGTGCTTACTGAGAATCCATGTGTTATAAAACTTCAGGTTATTATTTGACTGTTGAGCGAGCACTGGCTCAGGCTTTAGCAGAGGGGCGGGAAACCACGGCTGGATAAGCCTGCCTCTTATTTTGACGCCACTCCATACAACACCTGTCAATGGGCACACAGTCATAATCACTAGGTCTGCTTACTATACTCAGCTAATACCCTACCATGGTAATGCTGCTAAGCCCTGACAGAATATATTGCTGCAATGCAATTACATTTATGGTCCAGACACTGCTTTGTGCAGAATCTAAAGCGGACAGACGAAAATAGATCCAGGCAGTGTAAAGGATGATCTTACACCTTGTATACATAAGACACAAAGACCAAACTACCTCTTACATGAATAATCTCGAATGACAACATTACATGATATGCGGTTTGGGTTACGCCTACCTTTGCTGGCACATTGATTATAATGTTCCATACAGCCTTGACATAAGCTCTAAGGAGGCCACATGTGTTAAGGACAGTGAGTACAAAGCAATTTCTGAAAGACTGTTAGCATTTTTTCTGCTTCTAAGGCAAAGTAATGTTTAGCTGGCAGAGCACATATTCTGGGGCACCTCCTCACCTGGCAAAGTAAACAGATGCTATAGTCCATACTGGAGATGAGGAGAAGGTGTCCTACTTTATTTTTTAGCATTAGGTAACGTTAAAGTTTTCAACAAGACTCTACAGCCATGCTAGTGGCTCTGTGAGACTGAACTTATGCACAGTGGTACTTTGAACAACTAAGGTGTTATATCTCTCTCTGTATAGCCTGAATATCACATGCATAGCTCAGTGGGCTTCACGGGTCATAGATATATATACTGACTAGATGTCGCCTTGGGCTTCTAAGCATATGTCAAAACCGCTGCCTTCTTGAAGCGCCAAATTAGTTTTCCCGCATTCAGATCACCTCTAAAGATGCCGGACTTTTGTGCTAATTATAGATGTTCGAACAAAAGAAATGAAAAAACCAAACAGCAAGGGATAACATTTCACAGGTGATGATGTGTTTTATAATATTGAATGTTACGAAAGTATATTTCTGGTGATGACATTATATTGTTTCAGTTCTCATGTTTCAGTATATATATCTATGGTTGGTTCAGCGACGTTTTCAAAATGAAGCACAATGGTCAAAAAGGCACTTCATGAAATATTGAGTTGTGAAGCCTTTAGGTCGGATTTTTTTGTGATTGTCATTAGATATGAGTACAATACAGGTGTAAAAGCAAATACACATACAATTAAGTGGAAGAATAATAAACCTACGCCAACTAGTACTAGGCATTACATTTTGAAGTAGATTATATTAATATCAAAAGCTTAAATTTTCTCTGGACTCGATCATAAATACATGTCTGTCACTTGGAACAAACCAAAAAACTAAAAAATCGTTTGAGATTTTGACGATTTATGGTGATTTCATTTTCATTAAATTTTTGCCTAGATTGACAATAATGCACTAAAGGGGGGTGGATCCCCGCTGCAAGATGGCGTCTCTATTGACGCATTTGTTCCAATGAACCGCAGTAGTCAAGGGGACATCTAGTCAGTATATATATCTATGTTCACGGGTCTGCTTTGAGCTAAAGGCTAATGTCAGCATGCTAACATGCCCCCACTGACTGTTGATGTCCAGCAGGTTTAATGTTAACACTCTAACATTTGCTGATTAGCACTAAAACAAAGTGCAGCTGAGGCTGATGAATGTTGTTAGTTTTGTAGGTATTTGGTTGTAAACCGAAGTAGTACATTTTGAGTTGATGATGGCCCAGGATGAAAGGTCAGGAAAGATATTAGCTACAGTTCATCTTCTGGGGGACCATGAACATCTGCACCAAATTTTAGGGCAATCCATACCGTAGTAGTCTAGATATTTTAATAAAACCAAAAATGTCTTTGGGGCACCAGAGGAAAGGTAAAAGGATTATCAAATTCAGATTCATTCTCTGGGCATCATGAATGGCTGTACAAATTTTATGGCA